CACACACACACACACACACACACACACACACACACACACACACACACACACACACACCCAATTTGGTAAGAGAAAAAGCACAATTTTATATTGCTGCAAAACTCTTTAACAGTGATCAGCTGTATTCTATTTGCCTATGCAGATGAACAAAGCAGACATAGTCTGTTGACTATGAAGAAAATCTAGCCAGTCAAGGTGGCTCATGCTGGTAATCCTAGGTACTCAGGAGGCTGAGATCTGAGTATCAAGCCCAGGCAGTAAAGTCTATGAGACTTTTATCTCCAATTAACAACCAGAAAACAAGAAGTGGACTTGTGGCTCAAAGTCATAGAGTGCTAGTCTTGACCAAAAAGCTCAGGTACAAGCACCCAGGCTTGGAGTTGGAGCTCAGGCCTGACAAACAAACAAATAAAAAAACCCAAAAACCAAAACACCAGATCACTGAAGTCATGCATGCCTTCACACAAACAGAACTGTATGGTTTCTCAAAGTATCACAGGATGTCCAAGTACTTAGCCTACAACTTAAGAACAGATGCTCTGGGTATGCAGTGGGTAGATGACCTAGTCAACACATCACACACTGATTTCTAGAGTACCAATTCACTAGAGTACATTGTTGTTTAGTAGGAAAACAAACAGTGAGTGATCCCTTTGTTACAACATATAAACAACACTATTTTCCTAATTCAGTATCAGACTAAACAGTGATAGATTTCTAATTAAGAACTTAATACTTGCTGGGTGCTGACTCATGCTTGTCATCATAGCTACCTGGGAGATTGAAATCTAAGACTGAGGTTTAAAGCCAGCGTTGGCAGGCAAGTCCAAAAGACAGTTATCTCCAATTAATCAGCAAAAATGCTAAGTAGAGCTATGATTCAAATGGTAGTGGACCATCCTTGAGGAAGAAAGCTAAGGGATAGTGTCCTGGCCCTAAGTGTAAGCCCAGCACTGGCACACAAAAATTACTTAATGTTTTAGAAATAAATATTCTGTCATTCCTAAGTATGTTGATTTTTGCAAGAATGTCCATGTGATTAAAATCCAGTTCAAACCCCTTACAGTCTTTTTATCAAAAAGTAGTCTATAAGAGAACCACATCTGACAGCCCAATGCCATAGATTGTGTAAGTACATAATGAATTAATTGCTTGTTTATGCTCCTAAAGGGAATTCTGCACTGGTCAGTATGAGCTAGCAGAAAATGTCTAATTTCTGTTATTCAACTTTTCTTCATCTTCTCTACATCCTCATTTCCAACTTTATTTTAATATATCACAATCTAGCCATTCACTTTCCCAGTCTATTCTCCTATATCTTAACTTCTCTCCTTTCCCACTCTGGGAATCATCTAGAAGACTTTTAACTTCAGGGCCCTGATAGTCTGTTGTATGTCTGAATGTTCGTATTTTCTATTTTTGCTATCATGTTTTTAATGTTTTCGAAGGGTTAAGAATGACTTCTGGAAACAAGTGAGTATCTTTTACTAAATCCAAGTTCACTGACAATTTTCAAAAGAGGTTGTTAATTTTTGTGCATACTTACATCTGGAAGAGAAGGAAGATTGTAAGAGCTTCCTCCTACTGATGAATTCAAATCAATCATAGGTGAACCAAAGCCCTTTCCGTCGTAGCCTGCTGCACTGGTGATGGTGGGACTGGAGGGGGTGGAGGACGTGCTGCTGGCGGTGGAGGGGGCAGCCTGTCCGCTGCTGACCTGCCACTAGAGTAGCAAGAAGGGAAGGAAAACCGGCTGTCCATCATTAGGCATAGAATGTGGATTGTTCCTAGTCACTCTTTCAAACACGAAATGTAGAAGACAGTCTGCTGTGTGAGTTCAACACAATTACAATTCAAATCAAAGAAACAGGGATGAGGACAGGTATGTATAATTTTTAGTGATCTTGTCCCATAATATAAATAACTAGCATTGATTTTATTGCAAGACAATTAGTATATACTAGAGGGCACTATAGTTTTCAGTCTCAGGAAATAGAGGTTTGAAAACAGGATTTTGCACTTGTTAGGGAGATGTTTTTTCATATATACCAGGCCATGATTCTGACCCCTACCTGAAATATATGAAAATAATAAGCATAAGGTTTTATTCATCTTTGTTATTTTTCACATGTGAACAGTTAATTAAGCCTTAAGAAGCCAGGTTATCTTAGAAACTGAGATTAAATACAAAACTATGATACTGACAGGCTTGCTGAAGTATAAAGAAGCATGTTGTGTGGATCTTGATGGATAGATTCACAGCTAAACAGGCACATGGATGTTATTTGGTAAAGCAAGCAGAACAAAAAATGTCCTCTATGGAATTCTTCCCACTTCTGGTATATCTGAAAATTTTCATAATACAATTTTGGGAAAAAGGAAAGTAACTGAGAGGTATCTCAAAACTATGGAAGGGAAAAAACTGCCAGTCACACACATATTACATTGGCTGACATTATAGAGAGATCACGGCATTTTGATTAAAAAAAATCTAAACATATGCTTTGCTGTAAAAACTACACACAGAACCATATAAGATTGGTCGTGAAGGGCATTTTAATCTCCTGCCCACTTCTCAGATCTCATCTCCATCTATCCCATTCTCCTCCTCTCTCAAGAATAAACAATTATAGTTGGTAGACATCTATGTACCTCACAAAAATTCTGTGTTTTTCCTCACATAATATATGTAGGCAATCACATCCAGATTAGTATATCTTCTTAACATCTAAAAGTACTTTTAGTTTATGTGTTTTACTACTATATTTTTGTCTGATTTGTGTTTAGATTCTTGGTCAGAAGATATTTAGGGAAAAAACTGAGAGCTTTTACCCATTTAAATATAATATTTGGAAAAAAGAAAAAACAATACTTAGAACATGGTAAATGCTTTTAGACACCAATTTAACTCATAGTAAAATATGTAAGGTACCCATCTTACAGTTGGGCTGATATTTGAAAAAATATTAACTTTTGCAAGGCACAAAATTATTAGGAAAATAAACAGAATTTTAAGGTTTAAAAAACGTAGCTTGGGTCCTTTCTATTTTTTTTTGGGGGGGGGGTCCGGTCATGGGGCTTGAACTCTGGGCCTGGGCGTTGTCCCTCAGTTCTTCAGCTCAAGGCTAGCGCTCTACCACTTGAGCCACAGAGTGCTACTTCCGCCTTTTTTCTTTTTGCTTATGTGGTGCTGAGGAATCGAACCTAGGGCCTCAGGCATGCAAGGCAAACGCTCTACCACTGAGCCACCTTCCCAGCCTGTCCTTTCTATCTTATCTGTAATAATAAACAAGAAATAAGTATAAACTTTTTAATATATCTAACAAACTTTTCAGTTGAAGGCATGGCTCAGATGATAAGGTGCTTTCCAATGAATCTAAAGCATCAAACAACAAGTTCATGTCTTTGTCTTAGACTTAAAAAAAGAAACTTTGTTATACCAAAGCCAAACTGGGGATATACAGACACACATATGCATACATGTGAAACCAAACTTTGCTGTGTTTTGACTGCAATGTTACGAAATTATAGGATAGCATCATCTTTTCTTGGTCTTTGTAAAAACAAAACAAAACAAACAAACAAACAAAAACTAAGCCAAAATTGGCCTATAAGCCTTCAGCTAGAAAGACTGTGGACTCAGGAGCTATGACAGTTCGGAGTACTAGATGGGTTTTAAAATAAAGTAAAATATATAAAATAATTTTACCTGAAGACATCAGGAATATAAATGACAAATCATATCAGATTCAATATACAACCTTAAATGTTTGTCTTTACCAGATTAGATATATTGCAAATTGAAACTGTACCACATCATTTGTTTCCAAGTCTTCTTGAAAACATTCTGTGGAATACAACTTGGATTTGTTAGAAGTTTTGTTTTGAAAATATAATGTGCTTATCTAAAAGTTTATATACCAGAAGTGTGAAATCTAATCCCTGGGATTGTATTATACTTTGTTGATCACAAAGCCCCGAGATTCTCTCTCTTACCTTTTCTCTATGGGTCTATTTATAATAAGCTTTGTAATTCACAGTCATTACCGAAAATGAAAAAAAGCAAGTTTACTTTTGCTCTCCATTACCTACTGCTTGGTCTATAAACTCAATGTAATTGGAAAGAGGCAGAAACAGTGTAAGTAAATGAGAGAGTAGATAGATAGATATATACCTGTTTAATGGCTTGTTGAGCCAGGAAAGCCATTTGTAGGGGATTGGGTTTTATTGCTTGGCGTGGTACACTCTGGCTTGGTGGGTACCTCAGCTGTTGAGGATGAGGAGGAAGAACTGGTCCATTGGGTTTAGGGTTGTGGTTTTGAAAGTTTATCAGACGTGGAGGGGATTGCTAGAAACAAGAAATTTCACCACTTCAGTAATAATTATATAAAAATGTTTTAGAGATCTTTTTATAAAATTTGAAAAAGACAGAAACCTTGCAACAGATGAAATTATTTACTAAAATTTAAAAAAATGAAGGAGGATAGACTTTTGGAATAAGTGTAATCCATCTTTAAAAATGAGTTTTATTAAGAAAGAACCTTGGGAATGAGGTTATGATACCAAGATGGCTACAGGCCACAGGGAAAGCAGATGAAGGGCTGTTTAGTGTCCTCCTAAACTCTGAATGATAGTTGCAAAGAACTTCTCACTTCAAACTTCCTCAAATAAAGTGATGATGGAATAATAATCGCTAAAATTTACTGAATTGTTATTAAATACCTAATATTGCTTGTGTGTGTGTATCTGCTGGTACTGGGCCTACCACTCTTGCTTGGCTTGCTTGGTCATGGCTGACACTCTGCTGCTTAAACCAGGATTCTGGTCTAGCATTTTATTTTTTTATTTTGAAGATGGAATCTTGTGGATTTTTCTGACTGGGTTGGCTTCAAACTGTACTTCCTAGGTCTCAGACTCCTGAGTAGCTGGGATCACAGGCCTGAGCCTTAGCATCTGGCTCAGATAGTGCTCTAAGTGCCTAATATGTATCACTCATTTACTCTTTTTTTGTGCCAGTCCTGGGATTTGAACTCAGAGCCTGGATGCTGCCCATGAGCTTTTTTCTTTAAGGCTAGTAGTCTACCACTTAAGCCACAGTTCTACTTTTGGCTTTATGGTACTTTATTGGTGAGAAGAGTCTTATGGACTTTTTTGCCCATGCTGGCTTCAAACTGCTATCTTTAGATCACAGCCACCAGAGTAGCTAGCATTACAGGTGTGAGCCACCAGCTCCTGATCATTCATTTACTCCTAACAATAATCCTATTCTTTTTATTTAAATGTAAGGAAATGGAGATAAAGAGAACTTAAGTAACTTGCTCAAGATTAATAAAGGCTGTAAGATATAAATATGGGCTTTGAACAAATAGTCTGACTCTAAGGTCTTAAGTAACAAATCATTCTTAATGAAAATAGTTGGTATTAATAATATTTAGAAGTTTCAGATCTTATTAAGCTCTGTCATTGAACCTTATGAAGTGAATACCTTTGATTTACAAATGAGGACACTAAGGAAAGTTTAGATAACTTAAAAAAAATCAAACAGCTAGTAAAATGCAAAATTAAGGCTTCAGCTCAAATCTAGCCTGTCTTACCATTACCAAAACATGGACTTTTTTTTTTTTTTTGGGTCCGGTTGTGGGGCCTGAACTCTGGGCCTGGGTGCTGTCCCTCAGCTTTTCAGCTCAAGGCTAGCGCTCTACCACTTGAGCCACAGCACCACTTCTGGGTTTTTTCTTTTTGCTTATATGGTGCTGAGGAATCGAACCCAGGGCCTCAGGCTTGCAAGGCAAGCGCTCTACCACTGAGCCACCTTCCCAGCCCCATGGACTGGTTTTTAACTAGCTGTTAAGATACTCATTATAGTTTAGAGGATGAGTATCCCAAAAGAAAATGGATTTTGTGTTAGATATGGTAGTGTACTCCTGAAATCCCAGCACTTGGGAAATTAAGGTAAGAAGACTGAGAGTTTGGCTACCCTTGTATCATTCTAAGACCCTACCTTCACCTGTATTCATGGGCAATATGGTCTGCAAACCCTCACAGAACCAGTTAAACAGACTTAACTGCTTATGCATAGGCATTTTCCAAAACATATATACAAAGAATGTAGGGTAGCAGAACAATGTAAAGTTTAAAGGACAGGGTAAACTAATTGGTGAAAGATACAAGTATGGATATTTGGCAAACTGATGAAAAAGAGATGAGAATGGGAAAGAAGGTCTAGAAGGCAGAGTACATTAAAAAAGAACAGTAGGTAAGAGCCACTAATGTGAAAACTATTTCTAAGTGGGAAAGTCAGGTTGTACAGTAGAAGCTAACCCCTATATAAGTTACATAAATTAGTAAAACCAACAAATGGATGGTGAGATCAAAAGCAATCTGGAGAAAAGCAGGCTAAAGGCTTGCTTTACCATAATTCATACACCTAATTCACGTCACAGAGTATCTATCAACTATTTTAATTCCTTACTTCTTGGTGGAAAGGCAATTAGTAAAATGATGGATTTGACCCTGTTCTGGTTCATAAACTAGTGTACTGTGTCTCAGACATTTAAGAGCAATATTAACATATGCAAATGCTCAGCATAGGCTCTTAATGAATATGTTTGCTCTTCTTCCTACATTTAGCTTCAGAAAAACTTCGGTACATTTTGCAGTCCACTTATGCGATGTCCTTCTGCCCTCAAGCTGCTGATTTCAACTCTGCCAGCTATGTTCCTGGGTGTCTAAAGCACATACTTCCATACAACACTTACCAAAGGTCTTTTTAAGTTGTTTGCTACTACTTTCTGTAAAACTTGAGTTGAAACAAACTTTAAAACGGGTATGAAGCTGGATGTCAGTGGCTCACACCTGTAGTCCTAGCTACTCAGGAGTCTGAGACATGAGGATCATGGATCATGGTTTGAAGCCAATCCAGGCAAGAAAGTCCCTAGGAAACTTCTTTATCTCCAATTAACCACTCAAAAACTGCAAGTGGAGCTGTGGCTCAAAGTGATCGAGTGCTAGCCTTGAGCAAAAGGTCTTTGGGACAATACCCAAGTTCAAGCCCCACAACCCACCAAACCAAACCAAACAGGTATGCTGTTTAATCCAGGATATACCCTGGATTTCACATGCATTCTTTATCAAATTGCTAGAAAACCATGAATTTCAAATTCATTATTGTATCTCAGGCCTTGATAGAAATGACTTAACCAAAACCAAGGTCTAGTTGGGAATATTACTAATTATAGAACACATGCTTTAGCATGTATAAGACCCTTGGTTCCATCTCAGCACCAGAGAAAAACACTTCCTGTGTCTTTTAGTGAGAGTTGAGGGTCCTATAAAAACATTTTTACAAAGGGTATGCCATTTAACTGCATTCTCCATAAAGAGCCATATTTCAGGGGGGGGATGAGAGTGGATGCCTATAATCCTAGCACTTCTGGCACTCAGAAGGTGGAGGTAAGAAGATCATGTATTCAAGGACAGCCTGGGCTATCTCCAGTCCCCTCTCCCTTCAAAGCCCAAAACAAAATCAGAAAGTCATATATATATATATATATATATATATATATATATATATATGTTCCTCTTAGTAGTGAAAGCTTTCTCCTCTTAATGATGGTTCCTTTTTATTAGATGGTAACAAATATATTCTGTGGTCGTTTTTCTTGGGTATGAATAAATTTTGAGCTAAGATGAAGGTATGGTAGAGTACTTTCCTAACCAGTACAAGACCTTAGTTCAAAACCCCTGTACTGCCAAACACAAAAAAATAGAAGCTAAATCAAATTGTGGCCTATTTTGTTGTTAAGAGTAGTAAGAATTCTTAGTCTAGGTTTTTAAACCCCATTAAGATTTTTAAATCCCATTCTATTTGTGTCATATACCACAATCACTTCAAATCTTTTGCAGAAACAAGTAGACTGTAAGTTACAGAAAAAAGTAACTGAGAATGAGGATTTATAAATTAAGACTTGTGGATGAGATGTTTGCTCACAAATAAAGCATGAAGAGGGGAAGATTCTAAAAAGCCATATTGTTGCCCTTTTCTATTCAGATTCCATTTTGCCCTGGTTTCTAAGATGAAATGTGGTTTTTTAAGCACTGTTTTGCCAGAGAGAACTGGTCCTTAAAGTATGAGTCATTCTGAGCACTGACATAGGAATTAAGAGGTACACAGCTTTTCCCATCAATCACAGGTATGGGTTCTTTGGGAAAATAAACATTGATCTCCCATTAGAACTCAAAGGCAATGAACAGTAGACAAAAATGGATGTACCAACTTAATAAATCATCATTTTTAAGTTGTACTGATAACTCTGTGTTAAATAAGGGATTCCTAGAGTGGTAAATTTTTATAAATTCATATAGTTAAATTAAAGATGGTGGATGTATTGGTTATTTTATGTTGAGCACAATTAGACTACAATGATCTAAGTTAGGACAGGCCTGCTTCCAAATTTACCTGATGAGAGATGGAAGGTTGCTGGATGGGCCCCTGCATTCTAGGGTTTGGTAAACCCACAGGTGCTGGCCTCCGTTGCACCTGTTGCCTCTGAGCCATTACCTGTTGCTGCATATGCTGGAGTCGTAACTGAGCTAGGCTGATCTGTGTTGGAAACTTGGATAACTGGTTTGAAGGTAAACCACCTGATGGCTGTGCATTCTGTTCCACCACAGGATTCTGCTTAGGCATTTGTGGTTGGCTCTCTTTATCTTCAATTACTAAAGAACCTAATTAAAGAGAAAAGAGCATAGGATAAAGGTTTTTAAAAAAATGATTGGTGAAATGTTACATTATGTATGGATATTTTTGCTAAACTTAATTGCCAAGGAACTTTCAGATTTTAGAACTCCTGTAAACTCTTAAAAAAACAAAGGAACTCCAAAGAGGTTTTATCTGTGCAGATTCTATCAATCAAAATTTATCTTATGAAAATGAGATTTTACAAAAAATTACTAATTTAACTAAATTTAACTCCTTTAAAGTAATAGTTAAGTCAGAGTAACCCTTTTTTTGTTTTCTTTTGTTTTTTCTTTTTTTTTGGGTGGGGGGTGGAAGAGTGACTTTTTTGTCCTGGTACTGGGGCTTGAACTCAGGGCCTTGCATACTCATCATGGCTTTTTTGCTCAAGGCTGGAGTGGCATTTAAAAATCTAAATGACTGGCTTTTAAGAGCTGAATTATCATATCTGTTTTTGCATTATAATATAACATACTGTTTACATTAAAATATATGATGAAGATCTGATCTCACATAGATATGCACCTGGAACGCGAATCTACCTTGAGAACTTCTATTTCAAACAACAAACCTGATGTTGGTGCTAGAAATAAAATCTACATAGTATATCTGATTTTTTACAATCCCACATTTCTTCCACCATTTCAATACATACAATGCTAGCTCTCATACTGAATGCTTTCCAACTACTGTTTTAGAGCTTATAACTTTATAACGTCAACAGCAGTGATATGTTTCTGATTTACTAAGTATGCATTCTAAACAAAAGTGAAGCTGTGTTCATTAAAATCTTATTGTGCATTTCTGGTGTTGCGAATACTGTGTATGTGTGTGCTATTTGTAAAAAAAAATGTTAACTAGCAAAGGGGTCCAAGATTCAGAGACCAAAAGACTTACCCAAAGTCCTCGAAACACTAACCTAATTTTCATCAAAATCAATGGTTTTCTTTAGTACTCTTATATAAAATTATTTCTCAGAAGTCATGGTTAAACAAGTTGGGAATCTTGTCTCCATCATCTCTCCTGCTTGGGAGATTTACAATGTAATTTCATTGTAAATAAAATTACTAAGCTGTAGTGGGAGGTGGACAAATATAGCCATAATTCAACATATGTATATGAAAAAGCAGGAAACCACGTGACTCGTGATGGAAGGTGGAAAGAATGATGGAAGGAGTGATTATCCAGATTCATTGGACACATACGCAAATGCTAAATTGTAACTACTTGTACACCATCTGAAGTAATTGTTTTAAAAGCTACTAAGCTGTAAATGACAACATGTCGAATTTTCAGTGCTTAACTTTTTAAAAAAACGTTGTGAGACAGAGTCTCATGTAGCTCTGGTGTATCTCAAACTCAGTTATATAACACAGGCTGGAGTGAAAACTTGTGATCTTCCGGTTTCAGCTTCCTAGGTGCTGGGATTACAGGTGTATGCCAACATCCTTGATAAAAACACATTTTTTATCCTGTTTTGTTTTTAACTATATTCCCCTAAAACTACATCCATTTTATATGTTAAGGTTTAAATAAACTGCTTCATTGGTAAGGAAGCTTGTAGGTTGCCTACTATCAATAGGCACAGGGCTATCTATACTTCTAAAACTGGCCTGCAGGGGTCTCTTTATCACTTCTGCTTCAAAGACTCTTTTTGTTCTTCCCTTGAATGGAAGAGATTTGTATACATTTCTATTTCTTTCAGGAGCACTGGCCCCTCTCCAGCCATGTTTTTTCTCTTCCTACACAGAATCTAGCCTTGGGGATGAGATTGCAGCCATCTTTGATGATTTTGAAACAGTCAATGAATCTAAAAAAACATTTCCATAGGGAATGCTGGGTTTTGATGTACAAACAATGCATAAGGAATTTTTGGTTTTGTTGTGTCCTTGGTGAGAAATTAAGGAGGCAAAAAAGACTGGTTTAACTCAGCAAATAGCGTAACAAAAAAGCAAAAGTGACAACTTTCTGCTGAACAGCTTGCAAGGATATTCTATCTCCTAATGATCATCAATCTGTGTGATTATTTAGTATGTTCTAATTCTTAAGATTTGGATACTTTTCTGTATGTTATGTTATACTCCAATTAAACATAAAGGCACACAAACACACATTTATAACTATGTTAGGCAAAAGAAAAAAAAGCCTCTTCCCTAAATAAGATAAAGCAATTGAACCATTTGGTACTTCATAAGTGGACCTAAAGAAAAGCTGATAACAATATAAGCAATGATACTTTAGCAGAAAAGGTGAAATACAAAAAAGAAAGAAAAGAGAAAAAAATCCTGGGTTGGGAGATGGCTGAGTGGTAGGGCACTTATTTTGCACGTGCAAGGCTCAAGCTTGGATTCCTAGGAACACAAACTTTATACTTTTAAATATATGCACAAACAATCCAGAGGCAATCTGTTCTGATAAATTTATAGCAAACAATACAGACAAGATTCTGTGAGGCTGGAGGGTGACCCTCAAACTCCTTATACCTGCCCTGTAAACCAATACAAATATTTTCATGCCATGCAAGTATGTCCATGTTATACTCATGCACATTTGTTTCTATAGACATTAACATACTCTGCAACAAAAACAGCATGTCTTTTTAGAAAGTTAATGGAAACTCTTAGGGCATGGGAGAAATGTACATAAAGACTTACCTAAGTTGATAATATTCTGGGCCCAGAAACTTGGATCACAGTGAAACTGGATGGTGTTATTTGTCACTGGGGAAGCGTCACACCTTGCACGAAGGAGGTGCCGCAGCCGGTACGTAATCTAGAAGTACAAGGACAAGGGAACATTAGTGTCTTTTTTTATTTTGTTGGTCATGGGGCTTGAACTCTGGGCCTAGGCACTGTCCCTCAGCTCTTCAGCTCAAGGCTAGCACTCTACCACTTGAGCCACAGTGTCACTTTAGGTTTTCTAGTGGCTTATTGGAGATAAGAGTCTCACAGACTTTCCTGCCAGGTGATCCTCAGATCTCAGCCTCCTGAGTAGCTACGATTACAGGCGTGAGCCACCGGCACCTGGCTAACATTAGTATCTTTATCAGAAGAATAATTCATCATGTGCCCAGTGAAGCTCTAAAAGTGTCCTCTTATATATGTATGCCAACACACAACAAGCAATTGTAAAAAGCTTATAAAAGTGGCATAATTTTCTTTTCAAAACACATTACATTTTGAAGTATATCTTCAACTGGTAAGCTAGGTTTTTTTAAGTTAACAATAAAAGTTTACAGAAATAACAAGTATATTTCTAAAATAAAATGTTTTTAACAATCTTGTTTTTGGCTTATTTAACTTATCCTTTTATTAAGTTTTTTGAACTTATGGCTGAATATTTGCTAGGCAAGCACTGGAGCCACATCTCCAGCCCTTTTATTTAGTTATGTTTCAAACAGGGTCTCACATTTGGCTAGGAAATAGTCTTGAACCTCAAACCTCTAGCTGCCTACAAGATTAGTCTTATGCAAATTATTCCCCATGCCCCTCTCTCTTCCTTTCTCTTCTCTCTCCCTTGCTCACTGGACACCCTTGGATACGAACTCAGGACTATGGATTTGCTAGTCAGGTGCTCTAGCACTTGAATCATGTCCCAGTCCCTTATTTAATAACTCTTTCAAAGGATACAGAATTTAGTCTTAGGAGGCTGATGAGATATAGGCCAGGTAGTAGACTGCTTCTCACTATGACTTGGTCCCTACCACCTTCTTATAAAGAGACAGTTTTTAAACAAGTTATACTGTACCTGCTTCTCTCCCCTGAACATCTCTCATGTTCCATCCATCCTTGAAGATTTCACTTATTGGTTTACTAACATCATCATCTCCAAAATAACTGACAATTCTTGACTCCAATATCCAGTTAGATGATATTTCTCTGTCCTTCCATTTCACTTTCCTTTCCTATTACTCAATATCTATCTAACTCATCATAATAATCTTCTTGCATGAAACTTTCCCAACTAAATATACTCTTCCCTTTCATGAACCTTTTCCTCACAAAAAACAATGAAGCAACCCACACTGATCAAGTCTTTCTGCTTCAATATAAATGCACTGATGTAGCAAGTGACCTCACTTCAAATAACTATTTACTTATTAAGACACCCCACCCCAAGGCTATCATACGTTTTGTTGTTTCATTCACTTTTCTACTTTCTCCTGAGTCACTATTTCATAACTTCCTCTTCCTTGTGAAATTTTTGGCATCCTCCCCAAACCCATTCTTACTTTCAGCTGTTGGCCTTGCTTTTTATTTCATTGAGAAAAAAGGAGCAGGAACCTTTCTTGATTCATCTCCAAACTCCCATCAGTGTAAGTATTCCCTTTGTAATGAGGGATGAAATGCCCATACTTCTAGATAAAGCCAATTGTTGGCTCTTATGCATCAGAGCCCATTCCTTCTTGTTTTCTCAGCATTTTTCATCCCTCTCCTCCAACACCAAATTTTCCTTTTATTCTAGGGTATAGCCATCACCATATAAATATGCTTTAAGTTTTTCCAGCTAAAAACAAAACCACTAGCAGGTGGCTCACACTTGTAATCCTGTAATCCTAGCTACTCAGAAGGCTGAGATCTGAGGATTGCAGTTCGAAGCCAGCCTGGGCAGGAAAGTCTGTGAGTTCTTACCTCCAAGTGGCACTGTGGCTCAAGTGGTAGAGCCTTGAGCACAAAGAGCTCAGGGATAGAGCCCGGACTCTGAGTTAAAACCCCAGGATTGGCAAAAAGAAAGAAAAAAACCCCAAACAAAAACACTGTCCTTTTCAGCTTCTGCCCTATAAATATAACAAAATCTTCAAAAGACTCATTTATATATATTGTTTTCCATTCTTGCCTAAAGCCATTATATGCAGGCTTACTGTTTCCATGGGGCAGTATACTATAAGGGCAATGTTTCTTCCTGATTTCACTAGCTGTAAGAATACATTTGGGTTCCAAAGTCATAACTATTTTTGAACTCTCCCCTTGAGCTAAAAAGAGAAGAGCTTGGGTTCCCATTCCCCTTGTTGGCGTTGTATAACCTTGTGGTGTCTCCACAGTGGGTGCTTTCTTCTCACCCATGGGTGAGAAGAAAGTGTGCCCCAGGGCTAAGCATTTCTGATTTTCCTTCTAGAGTCCTCTATTTTTCAGTAATTTCATCCAGTCTCATACTTTAAATGCCCTTAGACCTCTAGCCTGACCTCTCCTTTGAACCTGGGTTTCTAATTGCTTATTATCTACACCTGATTTGTCTAATAAGCACCACAAATCTACCTATCTAAAAGGGAAGTTATTTTTTGGGTTGTTTTGTTTGTGCTAATACTGACCTCTCAATCTTGATAGGTCTTTTCCCTCACAATGGTGCTCTACTACCACTTGAGCCATATTTCTACTTTGAGCTTTTTGCTGGTTAATAGGCAAGAAGAATCAAGGATTTGTTAGAAGAAAACTTTCCTCCTTTGTGCAGAAAAGCTTAGGGTCAACACCAAGATGCTCAGTTCAAACCTAGGCCTGACACAAGAAAATCAAGAGGAGGAAGAGGGGAAGAGGAAGGGGAGGGGGAAAGAGGAGAGGAAGAAGAGGACAGCTTGGAAGTGTCCTTCCTTTTTGATCTTGTGGAACAGTTTTGAATAGTTCTATTTAAGTCTTGTAAAATTCGGTGGTGAATCTGGTTCCAGGCTTTTAACTTTATTACAATTTCATTTTGGGGGGCAGGGAGGTGAAGAGGAAGCTGGAGCTGGGATTTAAGCTAGGGGCCACCTTCACTTGGCTGGCACTCTGCAACTTAAGCCACATCTGTAGTCTAGCTTTTTGTTGGTTGTTTTGGAGATGGAGTCTCCTGGACTCTTCTGCCCAGGTAGCCTTCAAACCACAATTCCCCAGTCTTAACCTTTTGAGTAGCTAGGATGACAAGTATGCACCACTGGTGTCCAGAAATTTTTCTTATGGATCCTTTTAGTTTTGATAGATCATAAAAATGTTAATACATTTACTTCACCTAGATTTTCTTATTAGTTCAAAAAAAGTCCCTAGCAATGCTTTTGATTTCAGCAATGTGTTGTAACATCTCCATTTCCATCTTTAATTTTACTAATTTGTTCTCTTCTGATAAGCTTGGCTAAAGGTCTGCTAATATTATTTTTCTTTTTGATTTTTTTTTTTTACTAGTTCTGGAATTTGAACTCAGGGCCTCACGCTCTGTATGCTTGCTTACTGCTGGTGCTCTACCACTTGAGCTACATATGCCTCCAGCTTATCTTTTCAAAGAATTCTTTGTTTCATTTATAGTATAGTTGTTATTAATTTCAGCTATTTCCTTCTACTACTTGGCTTGCTTTTGTATTTTTTAAGACCTTCAGACATATTCATTGGTTGAGATATATTTATTTTTTCCTTTTAGTGGCTCTTTGAGATAGAATCTTGCAGTGTATTCTACATTGGCTTGGAACTCAAGATCCTTCTGCCCACTTTTGCTCCTCTATGTTAAGAGTTGTAAAGAATCATGTATGGCTTTTGATTTTTTTTTAATGTAGGCACCCAAGCAATAAACTTCACAACTATAAACTATAAACCTAGTTACTCAAGTAGCTGAGATCAAAGATAATCAGAGCAGACAAATCTCTGAGATACATCTTCAGTAACCAACAGATAGTCAGAACTGGAGGCATGGTTCAAGTGCAGAGCTCTGGCCTTGAACAAAAAAGAATGAGGTTTTGCGTTCGAAGCCCCAGTATTGGCACCAAAACAAAAACAAAATGCTTTTGTGCATTTCACAGATTCTGATATATGTTTCGAATTGCACTGGATTCTAGCAATAGTTAAATTATCTCTGATTTCTTCCTTTGGATAATCCATTGATCATTCGAAAGTCTACTTTCTAATCTCAATGGATTTGTTGATTTCTGGTTTTATTCCATTATACTCTGATAAAATGCAAGAGATTTATTGCAGCTATTGTATTAATAAAACTTGCTTTGTGGCTTAAAATATGATCTATTTTGGAAAAAGTTTCATGAGCTTGATAGAAGACTCCTCTAGATCTACAGTACAGGTTAGCGCTAAAGCATCTTTTTGGGTATTCTGTTTAGATGACCTATTTAGTAGTGAGAGTTTGGTAGTTACTAAGCCACCCAATATTATTGTATTGGGGCCTATCTAACACTTAATGCCCACAAAGTATTGTCACATACATAGACATACAATTCTTATGCCTTTAGAAGGATTGTGGTTAACTCTTTTTGTATTTCCTCACTAATTATAGCTTTAAATACAGTGTCCCATATGAATATAGCTTCTCTTGCTTGACTGGAGAATGTTTGGAATATCATTTGCCATTGTTTCATTCACTTATTTTTCTTTGTGTTGGTGCTGGTACTGAACTTGGGGTCTTAGGTTTTTTGCTTAAGGCTGGTACTCTACCACTTGAGCCAATACCTTCACTTCCAATATTTTGGTGGCCAGCTGAATATAAGGAGTCTCTCACTTTCTTGTCTAGGTTGGCTTTGAATTATGATTCTCAGATTTCAGCCTCCTTAGTATCTAGGATTACAGGTGTGAGTCACCAATGCTGAGTTATTTCATTTTCTTTATTCTTTTAATGTTTAGGTTTTTTAAAAATCCAACCACAATTTGTCTTTGGTTGGAAAATTAAAACCATTTATAGTCAAGATTAATATTCATTGGTATTGTTCTTGCATTTGATTGTTTTCATAATGTTTGATTCTTTTTCTCTCCCTCATTTCCTTATAGTGATATTTATTCCTTTTTGTACGCTCATGGTTTTATTTATCTTCCTCTTCTCTGTGTAGGATTTCTTTAAATACCTCTGCAATGCTGGCTCAGTGGTTATGAATTTCTTTAGTTTATCTTAGAAGGCTCTTAGCTTTTCATTCAATTTTGGAAAATAACTTTGTTGAATATAGAAATGTAGGTTGGCAGTTTTCTTTTTTCAGGAGTTTAAATACATCATTCCACGTCCTTGCAGATTTTCTTTTAAGAAATGTACTATTACTATAATGGGTTTGCTTTATATATGACTTGGCACTGTAATATGATGCAGGGAAGTACTTTTCTATTCCTGTTTGTGGTTTTAAATATCCCCCTATACCAAATGTCCACACCTTAAAATTTAGGAAAATTTCTGTTACTACTTCACTGAATATGTTTTCTTAGTTCTTTAGTCCTACACCTCAGGTGCCCTTGTATACAGCAAAAACTTGTTTTCATCTTTAATCAACTCTAAAAGTCTCAAATGTTCAACTGATAATTTTTTATTTTTCTTTATTACTGTGAAATAGTAATTAATCAACCCTGTCTTTAAGCTTTTTTTTTTTTAAATACTGTTTGATCTGGCCAACTGGAAGGCTTTTCACTGAGTTTTTAAAAAATTACTTAATGAACTTTTGATTTCCAAGATTTCTGTTTGACTCTTCAGAAAAATTTCTCGTTTTTATGTATTCACTTGGAATTCATCAAAAAATAATTCTTTTGAATTCTTTAAGTGGCATTTCATTCCTTCAATATATTTGGAGTCAGTTTGAAGAGAATTATTAACTTTGAAGAGTCATGCTGTACTGATTGCGATTTCTATTTCTATGTTGAGTCCTTTTGGGATGCTTCTACTTTTGTGTGAGGGCTTTTTTCTTTGTTGGGGGGGGGGATGGGAGGGTGTCAGTCCTGGAGGTTGAACTCAAGGCCTGGGGCACTGTTCCTAAGCTGTTTCCGCTCAAGGCTAGGGCTCTACCACTTTGAGTCATAGCTCTACTTCCAGGTTTCTGGTGGTTAATTGGAGATAAGAGTCTCATGGATGTTTCTTGCCCTGGATGGTTTCAAACTATGATGCTCAGATCTCAGCCTCTAGAATAGCCAGGATTACAGGTATGAGCCACTAGCACCCAACAAAAATAGGAATTTTTAAGAATGCTTAAATGGATTAACTTTCAGTGGTTAATGTCTCCTAGATCTCTGCTACTCAAAACATGGTCCACAGCACAGAAGTGTGAGCTTTTTTAAAGAAATTATCAGTCAAGGGCATGGCTAAAGTGGTAGAGCACCTGCCCACCAAGTGTGAGGTCCCAAATTAAAACTCTAGTAGTGCCAAAAGTAAATTTAAAAATGTGCAGTCTTGCCCATGGTAGACCTACTATATAGACATTTTCCAGTGATTTAGAAGGAACAAGCAGACTCTTAGGAACAAGCTTCTAGACTATTGTCAAGACCAGTGTTCTTCAACTGACCACCAAAAAGTCAGAAGTAGAACTGTGGTTCAAGTGTGAAACTGTGTAAAGAAAGCTCTGGGACAGTGCCCAGGCCCTGATTTCAAGCCCCAGCCCTGGCACAAAAAATTAAATAAAATATCCAGCATCATCTATTGTGATGACAAGAAAGACTGATCATGCTGTGTAATGTGGACGGAGATGTTTATCTCATTAAGAATGACAAAAAAAAGTCTAAATAACATGACAAATGCTTAGAATTACACCCAGTCACACTATAGTTAATCAGTTAAGGTGTTACTATCATTTATTATTAGGTTCAATGGGTGTACAAAACAGGAGAATAGCAGGTCAAAATTGAAGATAACTTAAATCATGATTTAAATTGGAGAGAGACTCGACAAATGGGACTACCTTAAAATAAAAAGCTTCTGCACAGCTAAATCTATCGCAACTAAGCTAGAAAGACAACCAACTAATTGGGAAAAAATATTTACCAGCAATATATCAGGCAAGGGGTTAACATCCTGTACATACAGGAAACTCAAGAAACTAATCCCTCCCAAACCTAACAAACCAATTACTAAATGGGCAAGGGAACTAAAGAGGGACTTCTCAAATGAAGAAATAAAAAT